AAGGTGAAACCCATGGTGTCCTTCTCATTCACTTAATATTCGCAAATTTGTGGATGATTTAGGCCTCCAAGACTTCGGTTTTATTGGATCTCCCTACAGTTGATCAAATAGGATAATGAATCCGCAACAGGTGATTCAAGAACGGTTGGATTGATCCTTGGTTTTGAGTGGTTAGTTGGATCATTTTCCCAATTCGGTACTACATCACCTTTCTGATAAAGAATAAGATCATAGAGATCTTTTTGCTAGCCACTGAAGAAGTCCAACATCGTGGGAAAAAATTGTTTCATTTCGATGCACGTTGGGGTGACAACTCTGAAGTGAGGGACATTATGCAAGAGTTGTGGAACATGACGTTCGAAGGTTAACTTTTGTTCCGGTTATGGTGTAAGCTTAAGAAACTAAGACATATGCTATATGACTGGATAAAATTAAGGAAATCTAACTCATAACGAAATATCTGAAGCCTCCAAAAAGAGTGGGATACAATAATTGGGTCTACTGTCGTCGATTGTGACAAATTGCATGACCTGGATAGACACTTGAAAGAAGGTTGGGTTGACGAACAGATTTACTGGCAACAAGGGTCAAGGGTGAATTGGTTAAGGCAGGGGGACCAAAATTCTTCCTATTTTCATAACTTCACCAGAGTGCGTAGTCATAACCATATCCAGGGTATTTATAATACTAGGGGTTCCTGGGCCACGACGGCTGATGGTATGGCACAAGTTCCGTGTGACTTCTACGGGCAACTCTTTACCTCGAGAGGTTTAAATTCCTGGTCGGTACAGGAGAAGGTAGCTTCGTTGGATATTGAGAGGAAAGTGACTGATTACATGAACGCCAAGTTAACGGCCGAAGTGTCCCCGGAGGAAATTCGACGTAGCATTTTTTTTTATATTGGTGCTACCTAGGATCCAGGATCGGATGGCTTTACGGGTGTTTTCTTTCTTCAGTTTTGGGACATTTTGGGGCATGACGTAGTGGAGGCAGTTCACCACTTCTTCTCTACGAGTTCTCTCCTTAAGAATTGTAACCATACTTGGCTTGTCCTTATTCCGAAGGTTGACAAGGTAGAGCATATGAGGAATCTTCGTCCTATTAGTCTTCGTTAATTTTCCTACAAAGTCATTTCCAAGATTTTGGCTGAACGGTTGGCTCGTTACCTACCTTCTATTGTGTCCGTTGGGCAGAATGGATTTGTTCATGAACGACAGATTTTTGATAATGTACTGATCGGGCACGAGGTTATGCAGTATCACAAGAATAAGAGGGTTGCAAAACAGAGCTTCATGGCTTTCAAAGTGGACATGGAGAACGCATATGATCGTTGAATGATCATTTTTGTTTACATTGCATGAGAAACTTGATTTCAGTGCGTAATGGATTAAATGGCTACGGGCATGTGTGTCTTCTCCGATTTTCTCTGTTATGAGGAAAATCTAGTGGTGGATACTTGATCAAAAAGCGTGTAAGTGTTAAAATAATCAGATCCATGATTTTTTTCTAAAGTTGTGGGCTACCAAATAGTGCCATGAAATATTGATATGTCCATCGAGTTTCATTTTCCTTTTGAAGAATCATTTACAACCCAAAATTTAGAGTTTGGTTCCATAAGCCCCAAGAATGTCGATTGTTGGGTGTACGTGGGTGTACATGGTAAAGGTAAAAGTCGATGCCTTCCTGGACCAATTTTAGGCTAGTAGCAGAAGAGTCAAACAATAGTAGGCGATCGACTATGAAGAAAAAGTTTTCCCCTAGGCAATGATATTTCATATTTGTATGATGTGTTTTAGCATTTTTACTATGTTTTGTATATTGAGAAAACTCAAAACCAAACTTAATGATATAGAAAATTTGTGCTCAATATTTTACACTATCAAATGTCCTTATCCTCCTCTTATGCAACTGCGGATCTAGAATTTAGTAGAGCAATAGCCACATTTGAATAAAAAATGAGATATTGTAAACAAAAATATTTAATAATAACTATGGTTTCATTATAATGTCAATTGTACACGAAAGTGTTTTAATTTAGCAAATTTATCAATAATGAAGTTTTAATCCATACTAGTAGCATATTCTCTCTCAAAGAAAATAGTTAAGCAATCGGCGAGAAATTCATTGCACATTTTGTTGCACAAATAAGTTTTCACATGTTACATTGTCGAAAAGGTTATCTCTGTAGTAGTCGTTAAAACGGCAACATCAACACTAAACGAATCGACCGATAATAAGAAAACAATTTTGTTTTGCCTTTTTATTTGATGCTTGAAAATATGTCATTATAAATTATCTTCAAATATGTACATTCAAGTATCGAATTTTCTGATTCTAATTCTAAATCATTAATCAAAAGAACAAACATGTATGTTTCCTTTCTAAGACTATGTGTCCTTCCACTTACGTTCTTGACCATTTCATCAATTTCCACCAAAACCAACATCATAAAGTTCGTTCCTTGCTTCTCCCAATCCTCGAAATTAGACCACTTGACCATAACATTTATCGAAACAATAAACTAAAGAGCTGCTTGATTTGTTTGCTTCAAATACAAATACAAGTAGAAATGAGTGGGATTCCAAACAAGAATTAACAGACACAGCTAAAGCCAACTCTTGCTTTTTATTTCAAGTAAATGATGAAGACAATTCAACTTTTCTTTTGTTTCAAAAGCCCACTAATGGAAACTCTTTACCCAACGATTAAGTTTGTTCACTAAATAAAAACTACCTAACTCTATTTCCAAAATACATCCTTTTAACAAAGATATGAAGAACCGGATCAACCTGATTATCACAGGGTAAAAAGAGCAGAAGGGGCTCTTTTTACAAGCGCTGGACCCTAAAGAGGGCTGGCCCGGGCTAGGTTGGCCTCCCATGGATCCCCACGCTACTATTCTACAAAATATATAATGTCAAAACATGGGTTAAAATTCTTCCATTTCAAATTTCGTGGCCTTAGAGTGATTCTAGGAAGGTTATTTTTGTCATTGCGCCTAGTTCATGTTTATATATTAAATTTTTTATCATTAGAGTTCAAACCTTGGTCACTTGAATGTAGAAAGAGCATGATAACCAACTAGGCTACATTTCATTTGTTGTTATTTCTTTGATTGAACTATAGGAATATGTTTAGTGATGATGTTTCTATATTTATATTTTATCTTAAGTTATTTATATTTTATAGAAAGAAATTAGTTCTGAAATCAGAACTCAAGTAGAATTGATTCAAACATTAATATTAAATTGTATGTGTTGTTTAGTTCAGACAAAATACAGAAGTGTAACCAAAACATGGACCTTCGTGACGAGTATAATCATTTTTTTTTTGTGACAAATCTATGCATAATATAATTATAAAATTGGAGAATGAGAGTCCCATTTCAGTTTTCGTGGACTGAGAGTGATTCTAGGAAGCTCTTTTTCGTCATAGTGCCCAATTTATCACAAAATCCATGTTTTGGCTACACCTGTATTTTGTCTAAACTCAATCATACATACAATTTATATTTAATGTTTGAATCAATGTTACTTGAATTCCGATTTCACAATTAATCACCTTTCCTACTTTGTTCAAGAAGCTCTTTCTATAAGATATATTCAATGTTTTAATATTTTCTATTTCAAATTTCGTGAAGCGAGAGTGAAAGTAGGAAGAGTATTTTTGTCATCACAATTATTATCTACTTCATATGAAAAAGTATCAATATCAAGATTTGAACAATGTTCTCTTCAAACAAAAACAATAATCACAACCAATTACACTAAACAAATTTGTTTTATCTTCATAAATTGTAAACATGCACTAAGCGAAGATTTGAAAAGCAGAGGACTTTTCACGGTTAGCTAACCTATAAAATGACGGGTAATCTTAAAATTGCAACACAAATTTCATTGCTTGAAATATTGCATATCGAACTGCAGTATTGAATATGCAAAAGCGATGTAGAATTCTTTAAATTAATATGACTTTTCAGAACTAATACAAAACAATAATATTTGTACAAACTATAGGTGACTGGTTCTCTAAAATTTTAGCCGGGTTAACTGCTAAAGGTTAAAATCTGGCTAATAGGGCATGAATGGACCCGACAATAATGAGACGATATCGAGTTTAACGTGATATTCATTTCGTCAGTTTTGGAGAGGATGTGTTGATCAATTTATAGGGCATGAACATATAAATGAGTTATAATTAACCTCATTATACAATTTTTACTCTTTAAAATTATTAATTTAATCTTAATATTTGTGATTTTGAAATATTTTATGTATGATTTAGAGGTATAATTATTATTTGTGACATCAGTTGTAATTTATTCAAATGTAGTATTTCATCATGTAGTCAAAATCGAATATTGGGTGCATTTATGACTGTTTTTATCTTGGTGTTGTGAATAGGTAGAAACTTAATTATTGTAATGCATATAACTAAACCTAGGCACTTGATCAAGCTAGCACGACATAGTTAGAGCATACCATGAAGATAATGTATATGGATCAGCCATGTACATGCATGAATGCTTCATGGGTCGTACTGGACTTAAACTTCAAGCTACTTTGCTCCGTCGATGAATAAGCGACCATCTATTCGCCAGGTTTCAGGCGCTCTGATTTGAGAAGAAGCATTTTGAACGCAAAATTGGAGAAGTAATTGGGATGTTTTTAGGTTTCTGCCGATTCCAAGCGATGGGAAGAAAAAGGAAGGGATAAGAGGGTGAGTTGTGAGATACAAAGCTGAGAGAGAGAGAGAGAGAGAGAGAGAGAGAGAGAGAGAGATGAGAACAAAGAGAGATGGGATACGGTGACAACCCCCTTAGGGGTTGTGAGTTTGACAACCCACCTCCTCACCATTGGATACGCCCTCTCTCCTGTCTCTTTCTTATTTTTTTTCAAATTGATGGTTAAGATTAAATGAATGGTATTTTTGGAATGAAAAAGATTTACCACACACAATCATTTACCCCCCATATAAATTAAAAACAAAACCCTAAATCCTCCCACCCCCTCTCCCCCTCCTCCCTCTCTCACGCAACCATCCTCCATCGCAGCAGTCCTCCACCATCGCAACCCTCCACCGTTGCCGCGTCCTCCATCGAAATAACCCTCCACCGCCGGCGCCGCCACCCCTGTCTCCCGCAGCATCCCTCTACCGCCGTCGTCTCCGCAATCCTCAGTTTCCCTCCACCTCATGTCGTGCAACGTCCCCTCGGACGACTGCGACGCAATAATCTTCTCCCCGTCGGAGCCCTCTCGCCGCCCTTCGTCTCCCACCACTGCCGCCGTTGCGAGGTCACCCTCTTCCCCTACCTCTCTCTCCCGTCACCGACTCCCCTTTTCTATATCTAGTTTTTTAGTGGTACCATTTTTCTTCTGGTAGCGTACCAGTGATAGTGGTACCTACCACTACCATCTGGTAGTGGTAGCGTACCACTATCATCTAGTACCACTACCATTTGTTTTTTTTTGTTTGTTATTCTCTACTGGTACCACTACCAATGCTAGTGGTACACTACCAGTGCTAGTGGTATGATACAATATGGTAGTGGTAGTGCTGTACTGGTACCGTACCACTAGCACTGGTACATTTTTAACGCACTGGTAGCGTACCACTAGCATTAGTATATTAATTACCAGTAGACTAATGGATTGGTACACTTTTTAATGCACTGGTAAATTTTTTCAGGTTGCCGGAGGGCGTCTGCCAGAGAGAATTCGCCGGAGAAAAAGTTTGTCCGTCGATGCGGAGTGGCCACAGGAGAAAGGAAGAGAGAGAGATAGATAGAGATATTAATGTATAAGATTTAAATTTCAAAAAATTGTATTTAATATGGGTTTTTAGTTTTCGATATAATTAATACAAAAAATGTAATTAATATATTCTTTTTTTCATACCCAAAATATCATTGGTTGTCAATCTGACCCCCTTAGGGGTTGTCACCGTATCCCGTCCCGAATAAAGAGGAAGGCAAAGAGAGAGTGATAAGACATTTAAAAGAGGAGGAAAATTTGGTAGTGTGAAATAATTGCCCTTCTGCTTTGATTAGTGGATATTCATGGCCCTATTCTGTTAAGTTTATATTGAAAGATCGTACGTACCGACGGTTAGACCATAAAACTTCACATCATAGGCTAAATCGATAGGTGATATTAGCAATATGAAACGGTTGAAACCCAGTTAAATTATGACTACAATATAAAATACTCTGCTACCAACTTTTTCGATACGATTTTACAATCCTTTGGTTCAAACAATTCTTTTACACCGGTGAAAACAAAAGTTTTAAGGCACATTTTTGAAGTATCTATTGCAAAAAAGAATAAGTCAGTTAGTGATAATGAGAATATGCGATCTCATGCAACCCAAAAGACACTTCGCAACTTCTATCTTTTTAAAATATATGTATGCTACTCCTACTCTCGCTTGTTCATCAACTTAATGAGTAATATATATTTCAAGTAATATTATTTTCATACGTGTTTATTTATTGAATTATCTCATGAAAAAAATATTTGTTGCATAAAAATTACTACATTGTTGCTAGACATGTCTCCGATCTTAGAATAATTTGGGAAGTCCGTACACATACATTGTCCAATACTCCAACTAACTATTAGCGACAACTTAGCATCATGTCCTATATATTTCAAATCAAGCAACTTCAGATTCATTAACACCAGTGTGGTAAAAAAAATGCTCTCTATTGGGAAAAACTTAAAGGACATAATAAACTCTATGATACATTTTCTTTCATACTAAAGGTCGATTATGTATGTATTATGAGAAGCAACTCCAATATTCATTCAATAATTATATGTAATGCTTATATTATATTTTTTTCTCTTTTCATGGAGGTCTAAAGTCTAAACATAGTATGCATAGTTGGATCACTTTCAAAAATGTTATGTGCATAAATAAGGTAGAAAACAATCTTTTCAAATCATCTATTATATCCATTATTATATATCATATTCCTCGACAAAATTAGGGCTGGCTATTTGGTCCGGGCTATTTGGTTTTACCCGAAACCGGACCGTTTAACCTGGACCGGAACCGGACTTGAATCGGATAGCAAACAATCCAATCTCATCTCCCAACTTAGATTTGAGGTTAAAAAAACCTTTTGGGACTAGATGGAAAACCTGATAAGAGATCCCAACACGAGGCTTCAGGCCACTCAAATCCCACAATCTCAATCTCAAATCAAGACCGAATTGGGACCGGACCGGATCAAGACCAAACTGTATCAAATCCAATCTTTGGTCATTATATTCTCGAAAAGACCAAACTGAGACCGAATCAATTTGGGCCAATTTAACCGGACCGGACCGTATAACCACCCCTAGACAAAATTCTTTCGGCCAATGGGCCGGGTCTTGTGCTAGTATGAATGATGGTATTGTAACACTTAGGGGTCGTTTGGTTTTAGTGATTGTTTGGTTGAGATAGTTACAATGCATGTATTGTCCACGATGCATTGTTTTTTTGAATTTTTCGCACAAACAATACATGCATTGTTTGCTTGATTTGATAGAAACTATCACTTGAAATGAGTGATAGTACTAACTCTACTAAAACTTGAGATTGTTGAGATAGTTTTAAGGAGATTGTTGGGTTCCTTTTTTGTTCCAAGTATACCCTTAATAATATATATGTGTTCTCATAAAAGCAAGGGAAAAAGTGATTTTTCTCACAAAAAGTAATATAACAAGGATTGAAATACTGTACTGGAGCTTGTATCGGAAAAGTCAGCGGTGTGGTATTTTATACTAAAACCGTGGTTTAATCATGGCTCAACCGCTAAATACCGCCTACCAGTTTAGGCTCCGGTAGGAGGTTTTTCTGGTTGAACCGCCGATATGGTACGGTATTTCAATCCTTGAATTTAATATGTTGGATACTAAAAGAGCTATCACCAAAACCAAACAATGTAAAGTAAATTACATCATTTTCCTTAATTACGGGCTCGTTTGGAAGTTAGGAGTCTAAATGAGTGATTCTGTGAATGTGTGTATTCTTTACAATCTATCGTTCTTTTGACATAAACTTATCCAGAATGCATGCATTTGATTGGTACTTTAGAATCTCAAATGGCTAGAATCATTCATTTTAGAATCTCTAGAAAAAGGTGAGATTCTCTTGCTTTACTTTTGTAATTGCTTTTTGCACCTCTTATCCTTATATTTTTTATATTTCATATTTGCCCCTTCTTTAATTGACTATATAAACAGAACTTCAAGGTTATATAAGTCTTTTTGGTCATTAAAGTGAGAATCCTTATATTCTTTAAAAATGAGAATCATTATATTCTTTAAAAGTGAGAATCACAACTAACAAACAACATATTCTTACAATTATCTATATCTTACAATCACTACACTTAGAATACATACATTGTAAGAATACACGTATACATGTATATTACAATGCATGCATTGACGCATTGATTTAAATATCACCAAAATCAAACTCTTATAATATTTTTATGGGGCTTAATCCTGTAGGATGCAAGGGTGATACGTGCACTAATAACTTTTAATTCGTTAACTAATTTTAATAAGAATAATTTTGTATTATCACCACAACAACATTATAAAAATAATTATATTATCTTTTCTCTCCTTGATAGCCCTCAATTTAGTTCCTACGAAAGCCCCATAAATGCAAAGAAAGTTGATATCTGCCCAAGCTCGGTTACTAGACCAGTATTATAATATTTTTCTTTTGTGCATTAAGAAGGATCTAAAAATTTCATTAAAGGTATTCAACTGTAGGTCAAAATCTCTTTGAATAGTCAAGTAGTCTCGAATTCAAATACTACCGTCACCAAAAATAAAAATTTACACAAATTTTGTTTACAAAATTTTGATCTAAGATATGTCAATTGATAGCCCATTGATGCACTTTGGCCCGGCCCTCTTCATAGTTCCATGTTTTCATAAGATTCTAATGAATAAAAAAAATAAAAAAATCCATACGGTAGGAGTTCGTTTGCGTCGTCCAAAAAGAAATTAGCGCTTAATTCTGTTGAGAACATTAGAGCTCTACACTCTAAGATTTCAGGAATAATTTTGAGCCTTTCATCAGAACCAGATATACATACAACATTCACAATTTACTATGCTTCTGTCTGATCAGTTGCGTGTGGGGCTGTAACTGATTTTTTGTTTGTTTGTTTGTTTGTTTAGGGTCAGTTAGTTACGTGGGTGGGGTTCAATCATTATCAGATCGTTTATTGGGCTTGTTTCGTTATTGCCGCAGCTATTGTTCGTTGTTGGCCTGCGCCTAGCTGAGCTGCGATGAGTTCTGTCAGTACTGTACCTAAATGACAATAATAAGAAACTCCAATGGAGGAAGCAACTTCACGCCCGCAATCCATTCACAAACACATAAACAATAAGATCAAATTTCCGGCAATATAATTATGCTGTAAACTAATATAAGATATATGCATCTGGTTTAAGTTCCTTTTGTCTTGATTTCCACCTTAGTTCTTGACTATATTTTTTCCATGCTGAACTGGAGAGTAGCCTACATAACATACATATAGTAAAAGATGAATGGTGGAGACAAAGTCCTGATTTTAGTTGGTAAGGACACTCATAAACGGCAGGCTCTGGATCAGCTTATTTAATCTTCGGAGGATTCCACGCAAATCAGCCAAGTTAACAGTCCAGCACAAACTCACCTCATCACAACAAAACAGAAAGTCAGAAACGGTCTAGTGACTAGCAGGAAGTCTCCACTCTTCAGGACTGGTAATATTCTTCTTTTCACTTAATAATAATGCCAGAGTGAGCGAACAGTTGTGTTCTACTGCTAAACTTCCCCCAATTCTCTGTCATTATCCCTACTCCACATACATTTATATGAACTCCAAACCATAACTCCCTACTCGAATAGTCAATTCAATCTGTGATCTAATCTCTGCCCCGTTCGACTCGACTGAAAAATGGGTTGCTTGATGAGTTGCAGCTCCTCCGCCAGAAAGAACCACCACCACCACCGCCACTACTCTTCCACCACCGACGATTCCACCGCCACCCTCGCCCCCTACAAGGGATGTCACCCCGCCCGCTGCCTCGCCAAGAAGCCCAATCCGACGGCGGAGATCCACAACGGTACCACTACTCATCGGAAAGGGAAAGGGGCCCGCCGTCGGCGCCAGGACGACATCCCCAAGCTCCCCAAGACCTTCTTCATGATGGGCCAGCAGAGCAGCGAGGGGAGCCGCCCATTCACTCCCACCACCGCCGACCCCTTCAGCGAGTCGATTTCCGAGTCGACCGAGTCGCCGATTCACTGGGGGATCTGGCGGCGGAAGGAAGTTGTGTATACAATCCCTCTCGCCTCCGAATTCGGCAGCTTCACCTGCCCTTCCCCTATTGCGCCCGCCACTCCGCCTCTGAAAAGGGATTATGCGGCGGTCCCGGAGATAATTAGGGAGGCGGAAAAGGTGGGGTCGTTCGCCAGAGAGAGGCTGGAGGCTTTCACGGAGAAGCGGAGGTTAGCGGCGGCACGGCAGAGGAGCGAATTCGGGTTCGGGTGCGGGATGTTCCAGAAGGATTTGGGAGGGGAGGTGTCGCCGGCGTGGACGCCGGTGGTCGGGAGCTTCGCGATGAGGAGTCCGGCGAGAGGCGGGAGTCCATTCAACGTGAGCGGGCGGGCGACGGGGCGGTGGTCGGGAAGGGCGATCGGGAGCGGAGTTCGGATCCAGTTTGTGAACGACGACGTACGGGTGAAGAGGTGTGAAGATCAGTCCGTTGACGATTCTTATTTGTCCATGGAATGCTTTGTGTTTTGAGAAAAAAGTTATTACCGGGCTTCTTTACTGTTTCTCTAATCTCTACTGTTTGAATGCCAATACCATAAATAAAACAGTGTAAAAATATTACAATAAATAAAATGAAAGGCCAAGTACTTTTGGTTAGTTGGTGAACTTTTCAATTGCTGTCCAAATTTTTTTAATTTGAGGGATGTAAGGGAGTTTGGTAAGTTTAGGGTGAATAATTATGAGTAACTTGTTTATATTAGTATGATATTAGCATTTTTTTTTCTCATGAATTTGTTTTTATATTTTCTCCTTTAATTTTTAACGGATGATTTCTCGCTCATTTTAAAACATTTTTTTTCACAGATAAATCAGATTAATTGTGCTCTTTAAAATGATATTCAATTTGATATATTTTAGAACAAAAAAATTGAGTCATTTTTTATTAGTCAATACCATATAGTATGCTCTTATTTAATACCATATGGTAAAAAAGTGTATCATGATGGTATGAACATACCAAGACTGTAAGAAGGTTGAATACATGATAGTAGGAGTATACTAACTGTCATTTACGACTTTCATCATTGTTTACCACAAGTTACCACCCCCATACCATAGTGGTAAAATATGGTAATTTTTTATCTTGTATTTTTTCACCCATAAATTTGTAGATCCAATAGATCATGATGAACTATTTTTTTCTGTGCAAATATTTTAAAAAATGACTTAAAAACGAAGAAGTTACTATATGGTATGTAGTTGGTAACGGGAAGTTAATTATCAAAATTTACCCAAATGAAATTTAGACATGAATTACTCGTGTAATGGGCTAACAGTTCTTGCAACTTATCCTGCAAATTAATTCATCACAAACATATATACTCACAACCATATGCATTGGCTTTTCTTAGCCATAGTCAGTTAGTCACACTTTTCATACTCCACAACTGCATACCATACTCGTCACAACTTACACAATCACACAACATATACACATGTCATCAACTTTCCACACCTATGAATATCTCACACTACATCAGAAGCTAGTATGCACATGAAAAACGTTCTCAAAACATTTTTTTACAAAAAGGTGTGGATCACTGGCCAAAATCACAAGTAGTCATCCAAGCACAAAATAGTTGAAGACCATACCTCATCTTGGCTTCAACTCTAGCTTCTCTCCCACCTAACACTTATCTACTGCTGCTGCTGATGATGATCTACTTACACATAGCATAAGCAGAGAAGAAAACTAAAAGAGGGTCAGCTCATGGCTGAGTGAGACAATCATTGCATCGTGAGTTCATAACAGAGCATACCCCTACCATACATCTAGCAAACAAGCCAAAGCACTAGGATCAGACCTCAGGCATCCGACATCCCAATAGGAAAAAGACTCAACCACCTTGACTTATGCATATGCATCTTATCATACTTTATTAATAGGCGCCTGGCTACTCCCATGCTAATAACTCTCCAGGGAAACATACCCCACATCCCGTCGGATGTAGTCATACATACCCCAACATCCCGTCGGATGTGGTCATACATACCCCACACCACTATGGGTGTAGTCATACCCCGACACCGCTGTGGGTGTGGTCATATCTCGTAAGAAATCTTCAGTCACCACCACATGAGAGGTGTGACTATCATACATATCATAATAGAGTAATAGCATAGGGAGCCCTAATTACTATGTAGTTGACCGTGAGACCACAACACTCATATTTGGTATCCTTATACATGATTCATATATCATCTTACTTAATCATAATTCGTTACTTGCACATGTACTTGACCTGACCATAATTGGCTCAACATAGTTAAACCAGGAGTCGTATAATTGCACTTCCTCAGGATAAACCCTCATGCAAGTCATCCTCCTTAAAACATCATAATATCACCATGGGATATATATTTTCCTACTTGTAAATCCAAATACATTAATCATGAAAAATCATACCCAATCACCTTTTCGAACCATCATAAGGCATATCAATAGTCAAGCCCACAATTTGCAACATATACGAAATCATCAGCATAAACAAGGTCCATCTCGATTAGGGCAAGTCAATAAAATATCATACAATAGTCCAGGGTTCATCATATAGCACAAAAGTTCATACACCCCTAATCATGCCATTCTAGTTCACCTATGTCAATTTTAAGCATCAATATAATTATTGTGATACGACAAATCCGGTATGCTGTGCTAATCCCTCACCAGTTCTGGTCGTTCAAACACCGGTTTAACCTTCCCGTACTAAAACGTCAATTTCACAAACGAACCCCGAATTAAAATTCGAGACCGTTCTAATATCCCCTGCAGTATCCCCGTCAATATTAGTTCTAGGCTCCGGGTCGAATTCTTGATAAAAACACATCAAACCCTAGCCGGAGCTAAATTCAGCGATCCTGGCTCCAACCTAAATAATTGCCGAAATTCATGGATTAGAACTAGAGGATTGACTACCTCGTTGCAGGAAGCTCGTATATGAAATTTGGGCTCAATCCGGCTTCCAGATACTCCGAAATCCTAATTTAGCTTATCGGGAATTCGAGAAATTCCTGAACCAAAAACTGATTTTAAAACTCTAAATCGATAAATCACGATGTATAGATGAATTAGGCATTACGTACTGGATTTTATAATAGTTACAGCTCAAAAATCAAGCTCTGCTATTTCTCTCCGAGTTCCATGTGGGCGCTTGGTTTTCTCTGGGTATGGAAAAAGGAAAGGAATGGGATGAAAGTGAAGATTAAAAGGGAGGTGGGTTTAAGTGTACGTATATAAATATTTTAAGCGGTTACGACCCCATTTAACTTCTGTACGCTCTTCTCCTTGCGACACACAAGCAGGTGTCACTAATTAATGTATAATATATTTATTTAATACGTATATTTATCCAATCGATTGATAATCCGATTTCCGTCGATATATTATCAAAACGCTTAATTTTAAATCGCGAACTTTCTAGCGATCGAAATGTGGGTTTTGCCGGAACGAGATGTTACATTACTATCATTAAAATATGACTTTGCATATATTCTCTCAAATCCTAAATAATTATCCCCAACCCTAACAATCAACCATCTGCCTCCCCTTCCTTCTCTCCCTTCCCTGGGAGAATAGTCATCGCGAACTCGACACCCTCCTTCAAGGGGCGGAGCTACAGAAGCCTTCGCGGGGGGTCTGGCACCCCAAGAATCTTGAAAGTTCATGTAAAATTTCCGGGATTAGACGTATAAACTAAATTTATATAGTTATTCAACTTGAAAATGATAACATGAAAAATTACGTAGTCTAGTTGAAGGGGTTGTGCGCAGTTAATTAGTTGGTCAAGGTTCCGATCCCTCTAAGAAACAGAAGGATATTTTTATCCTGGATATGGATATGAATGATGGGAAATTCTACGGTGCCGTGACGGCTTTGGTACCGTCATAATTTTCTGACCAGTACAAATATCATAGATGTGGTTCGGAATGGTTGAAACAAGCTGGCTGGGTTAATGATTTTTGGGTGGCGGAACCAATGCTAAGAGCTAGAAAACCAGATGACATATCGCACCCTCGATTCTCCCAAGTTCACAATTGGGTATCAGAATTTCGGCCACCGAACTCATTCTGGGAAATGAAATCGAAGTTGGATGCAAGAATTTTGGCGCGGTTCATGAACTAAAATCAATTGTTACCCCCTCAGTTTTACTTGCTCCCCGAGAGGCCAATTCAACACAGGGTTACATAATCGCATAAAAGGAAAGCACTAAAAATTGGAAGGGCATTGTCTCTTCCATTCCTCTTATCTTCGAACGGAGCGAAAAGGCGAAGAAATCGTTTCATTTCCTTCTTGCCCTCTTGGAATCTAACGGAAGATCCCGCTACTGGACCCTGTTTACATCGTCGTAGCCTAGCGATGGTTGTCGATGGCGGCGAACGGGCTGTGGGAGAGGAGCATGCAGAGGTTATTGCGGCAGCAGAGGTGGATGATCGGACTGGTGGTGGAGCTTTGCGTCGGGTTCCCCTTCGACGCTCCGCATGCCAAAAGATTATATCTCTGCAACATCGCCATTTTTGGGGTATAGTAGAGGTGACTTGATCTTATGAGATGAAAGGGGGAAGAAGAGGGGATTAAGCTTTTGGTTTCAAAGAGAAGAGATCTGATTGTCGGAGATTGAATTAATCATTTGGTGAAGGATTTAAATATAAAATAGGTTCAACCAAACACTATATGAATGATGGTTAATAATCAATGGAGCTCATTAAACACACTAAATCCAACGTCTAAAAAGCAGGCGACACTAATGTCGTGCCTGCACCATAGAATCCGCCATGAATGATATATTGTTCCCATTTTTTCACCAAATTTTTTCTTTTTATTTAACCAAACTATTCGATCACTGTTTTAACTTTTTTCTGTAACTAATGTTTAAAATTTCATATTTGGTATTCAATTTTAAATCATATCAATTAAATTCTTCAATTTTTAAGATTATTTTTGAATATATAATGATAGTTTTTTTTATACTAATATTGGTAGGCATTTTCCTCTTAGTTATTAAAATAGTTTACCCCACACAATATTGAAATTAGTTATTAACTTTTTAATAGTATTCTGATTTATATTGAATTCAATACGATGTTTTTTGGGCGCTTATAATAAAATAAAATGAGTTTTTTAATAAAACTTTTATTAGTAGAATTTTTAGTCCTTTACGATAACGTATTACGAAAACTTCGGCCTCCTCGACATCTAAATCCTGGCTCCACCCCTGCCTCCTTCCTCTCGGCTGCCATTTCTTACCTCTCTCTCCCTCCCACCATCCATCCGTCTCTCTCCCCTGTCCCTTCTCTCCTCCTAGGGCTGGCAGTTCGGTTTTCGGTTAGCGGATAACCGTCGGTTACAACCGAACCGACCAGTTTTCGGGTAACCAAAAACCGAGACTAAAATTACTTCGGTCGGTGGACGGAGGAGAATAAAAAGCTTCGAATAACCGAGCAACCGACCATTATTAACCGCGGTTATCCGAAAAAACCGACCCAAACCGACCAACCCTCATATATTGCCCTCCCTGCAAAAAAAATGACATATAAAACCCATAACCCAAAACTGAAACCCTATAATCCCCTCATCAAACCCTCACCCTCACGAGTCACGGCCGCCACTTAGCTCCCTTCCTTGTCGCCTCACGGCCGCCGCCTTCCTCCGTTCCTCGCCGCCATGCAGATCCTTCCTCGTCGCGTTGCACCCGTTCAGATCCCTTCCTCGCCGCGTCGCCTCGCCCAGATCTCGTCCTCATCGCGTCGCCTCGCGCAGCCGCCTCCATCCTTCCTCTTTCCCTTCCATCCGTCGTCGCTGTTGCCGTCCCGGAGCAGATTAACCGCGTCCATCGGCCGTCCCGAGCAGAAGGAAAAGAAAAGTGAGAGAGGAGAGAAGAAGGGTCTTGGAGATGGAGGGTCTCCGAGCAGAAGGAAAAGAAAAGTGAGAGAGGAGAGAAGAAGGGTCTTGGAGATGGAGGGTCCCCGAGCAGAAGGAAAAGAAAAGTGAGAGAGGAGAGGAGAAGGGTCTTGGAGAATGGAAATGGAGGGTTAGGCTTAGGCGGATAGCAGAGGCAAAGGCAAAGGAGATAGAGGGGAGAATAAAAACTTTTTGGTGGTTCTTTTCCTCATTTTGGGTGAGGAGAGAAGAAGAAGAAGAAGAAGATAAGGTGGGTCCGAAAATGTGTGGTGGACTACTCGTTCTTTTCTTCTATTTCTTTTTATTTTTTTTATTTTTTGTATTTAATTCGGCTAACCGCGGTTATAACCGATAACCGACCGGTGGGTTAGGCGGTGACCGTGTGAAACGCGTCGATCGGTAGTTCTGGGGGGTCGCTCGGTTTAACCGAAAACCGACCGACTGACAGCCTTATCTCCTCCCAACTCCAATCCACCACTGCCATTCTCCCCAACCCACCACCCACCTCTTCCCCTCCCATTCTCATACCTCCCGTGGCATATCCTCCTTTCCCTCTCTCACTCGGACGACTGAAAAATGGTGAGATGGATAAAAATCCTAAATCTGAATTTTTTTTTCTTTTGGTACTAGTTGATTGTTTTATTTTATGAAATGATATAATTCTATTTTTTTATAATGATACTGATTTATTTATGCAATGATATTGTTTTGATTTCACAGTAGTAGTGGTATTTGTTGGAGAATGGAAAGTCGGAAATCACTCGAAGGAAATCAAGCCAGCTGCAAAAGTTTCCTAAACTACAAAGATTACCATCTTTGAAGAAATTCAAGTGCAACGGTCGGCCAGCAAAGGGTATTTATACCTTTCATGAAGAACAGAGACGGGGCTTTTAGCAAGAAGTGGTATAGGGCTGATTGCTTAGTGGGTTAATCACTACAGAGGCACAGGATCTGTTTGATTAACGGTGTAACGGGTCTGGGATTGGGATCCGGGTGACTTTACGTTATTGTTCTTTTGTTGCTTTTGAGTCTGCTATTTTTATCTACTTGCTTGATAGGTTACATCAATAAAAATCAGAGTCTCCTAGACCTCAGTGAAGTACTGAGTCTAGGACGAGGACGTACCCGGTAGATTGGGGAACCTCGTTAAAATCGGTTGTGTTCTTGTCTCTTGCTGTGTTACTCTGTTTCGATCTCTTCCTCTGTTTTTCCAGGTTCTGCAACAGCTTAACTCCTGCTTCCTTGCAGGGAAGAAGACGAACTTAGCCAGCCAGGCTGTGGGCCTAGTCTCGAACAGGCCTTAGCCCAAGTTTGGGTTTTAGTTCTGTTATATCTAACTTTGGGCTTTGGTGCTCTTTGAGCCCATTCGAACTCGTCTAACAGAGAGTGATAGAGATTCGTCTTCTCTATCAACCATCAGACTCATTTCCCCCAAATCCTCTCTAACCCTAAATTCGATTTTTCATTCTTCCTCTGATTAACAGGTGGTATCAGAGCCTGCCCTTGAAGAAGCTCACTCCTGCCAAGGTTCTGATCCAATGGCGACCAACTCGTTCGGGCAGGCGGCTCTTAATCATCCGCTGATTTTCAACGGAGCAAATTATACGGCATGGAAGAAGAGAATAAAGCAATTTATGTGGGGAATCGATGAGGAGCTCTGGCTCATTGTGCAAAATGGTCCGATTGAAATGGATCTGGCCGAGCAACATCTGTGGTCTGCAGCACAGAAGAAGAGTGCGCAGCTAAACCAGCGCGCCATGCATGTCCTCCAATCGGCGATGACCTCTGAAGAAGCTGACCAGGTTGAAAATTGTGATTCTGCTCAAGAAATTTGGATCGCTCTTCAGAGTACATACGAAGGTACCTCTAATATTCGTGAATCTCGCATTGATTTATTAGTCCATGAGTATGAGGCGTTCTCTATGCTTAATAATGAATCAATCCATGAAATGTATTCTAGATTCACTACTCTCATCAACAAACTTAAAGGCTTAGGTCGTACTTTTCAACCTAAGGATCTTAATCGGAAGATCCTTCGTTCTTTACCTAAAGAATGGCTACCTAAACGTACTGCTATAGAAGATGCAAAATATTTGACTACCTTGCCTATAAATGAGTTAATAGGGTCTCTTCTCAGTCATGAAAATGTTATTAAACAAGTTTCACATGATGATGAAAAACGGATGAAAACTCTGGCCTTTAAGTCCAACACTGTTGATTATGAGTCTGAAGATGACTGTGTGAGTGATTTTGATAGGGAATTTGCCCTTGTTAGTAAGAGATTTCATCGCATGCTTAAGTACAAAAATGATCAAAAACGTCGTCAGGATGACTCTAGATTTGCTTCTACTGACCGTTACAAAGTTGTTTCTCAAGATAGGCTGCCTAATCAGCAGACCAGATTTTTAGAAACAGGTCAATCAGAGCGAGAAGCTCAAGCATGCTATAAATGTGGTAAGTTCAGCCATATCAGAGCTCACTGTCCACAGACTTTGAAGGCAAAAGAGCGAGCAATGAAAGCCACTTGGAGCGACTATGAGTCAGAACCAGATGAGGAACAAGAAGATAATCTGGCATTTATGGCCTTCAGCAATGATCTGGACCTGCAAATTGAAATGACTTCACAGAATGATGAACCAGGTAGCACTAAATCAAATCAGCTATGGTATCTTGACAGTGGGTGTTCCCACCATATGTTTGGTAAGAAAGAACTCTTCTCTACTCTTCAGATCAAATGTGGAGGAAGGGTTGTTTTTGGTGATGACAGTTTCAGCACTATTGTTGGAACAGGAACCATAGGAAAACATCCCTTACCGGTGATAAATAATGTTCTTCTTGTAGAAGGACTCAAACATAATCTTCTTTCAATCAGCCAATTGTGTAGTAGTGGAAACAAAGTCAGGTTTGAGTCTTCTCGTTGCATAGTTGAACGTATCAGTGATGGATTGATTCTGTTTGTTGGGTCTAGGCATAATAATATGTATATCATTAATCTTCAGGACCTTGATGCCTTTAATGAATACTGTTTTGCTGTCTCTTTTCAACAAGAACTCCTGTGGCATCGAAAACTTGGCCATATCAGTTTGTCTAAACTGTCTATGTTGTCCAAACTAAACCTTGCCAGAGGAATTCCATTACTCAGAGATAAAGCAAATTTTTTTTGTGAAACATGTATTTCTGGAAAACAGAACCGAAAATCTTTCAAATCTAAGACTGACATAACCTCTAGCTTTGTTCGAACTGATTCACATGGATCTTTTCGGACCATGCAATGTCACTAGTCTTGGAGGAAAACACTATGTGTTTGTTCTGGTCGATGATTACTCCAGATTTACATGGGTTTATTTTCTAGCTCATAAGGCTGAAACGTTTGCTAAATTTAAAACTTTTTGCCTTGTTGCATGCTGGCCAACTCAAGACAGTGAAAAGTGATAATGGGGGGAGTTCATTGTGGATGAATTTGAAACCTTCTGCAATGATACTGGGATCTCACATATCTTTTCTGCACCTCGCACTCCTCAACAGAATGGAGTTGTTGAGCGAAAAAATCGTACCATTATCGAGTGTGCTCGTACTATGCTCTTGGAATATAATTTGCCTAAGTATTTCTGGGCAGAGGCAGTTAGCACTGCGTGCCATGTTAAAAATCGAGTTATTATTAGGAAAACTCTTAATAAAACTCCCTATGAGCTTCTCAAAAACAAGCCTCCTAATATTTCCTATTTTCACCCCTTCGGTTGTCCTTGTTATGTTCTGAACACTCGTGATCAGCTGGGAAAATTTGATTCTAAATCAGATTTAGCCATCTTTTTAGGATATTCAGTTCGTGGTCAAGCTTTTCGAGTTTATAACAAACGTACTCAGAAGGTTGAAGAATCTGTTCACGTTAGGTTTAATGAGATGACCTCTCCTGCAGATTCATCTTCTACTCCTTTATCCTTTGATCTGTCTTAACTGTCTAATAGCACAGAGATAGCCTCCAAAGATGCAGTTCCTGATCAGACTGAAAGACTTGAAGATAATGAGGAGCTGGCTCCTACAGAAACCAACAGTAAGGAGGCTCCTGTTTCAATTCCTACTGCCCCACCACACATCCAGAAAAGGCACCCGAACGCACAAGTTCTTGGTGTCATCATTGATGGTCTCAAAACTCGAGGCAAATATGTCCCAGGTCAGTATGCCTATGTCTCCCAAGTTGAACCAAAGTCTTATAAAGATGCTCTTAATATTGAAGAATGGGTGTTTGCCATGATTGAAGAATTAACTCAGTTTGAGCACCTACATGTTTGGGATCTAGTTCCTCGCCCTTTAAATGTAACTATTATTGGAACTAAATGGATTTTTCGAAACAAATCGGATGAATTAGGCATAATTATACGCAGCAAAGCTAGATTAGTAGCACAAGGCTACTGTCAAGAAGAAGGAATTGACTATGACGAGACATTTGCACCTGTTGCACGTCTCGAGTCTATTCGGCTTCTTTGTGCTTTTGCTTCATACATGGGATTTCCTTTATTTCAAATGGATGTCAAGAGTGCATTCTTGAATGGAGTTATAGAAGAGGATGTGTATGTTTCTCAACCACCTGGTTTCGTAGATCATAGGTATCCTGATCATGTTTTTAAGTTAAACAAAGCTCTTTATGGACTTAAGCAAGCTCCTCGGGCTTGGTATGATCGGTTGACATCCTTTCTTCATGATCAGAAGTTTGTCCAAGGTTCAGTTGATAAGACTTTGTTTATAAAACAGGAATCAGGTGATCTACTTCTTGTCCAAATCTATGTTGATGACATAGTGTTCGGGTCAACTAATACTCAGATGTGTTTTTCCTTCTGTGAGTCTATGAAAAGTGTTTTCGAAATGAGCCTCATAGGAGAATTAAAATACTTTCTTGGCTTACAAATTAAACAAACTCCCCATGGTACCTTCATTAGTCAATCTAAGTATGTGTCTACTATGCTTCAAAAGTTTGACATGACTGCATTGAATGCTTGCCCAACTCCTATGGCAACTAATGTCAAACTTGATTTAGATGAAACCGGTGAATTGGTTGATGAGTCTAAATATCGTGGCATGATAGGTTCTTTGAT